CCCCAAAACCCCAAAACCCCAAAACCCCAAAACCCCTTAGAAGGAGTTAAGAATAGAATAAAATTTAAACTAGAAATAAAAATGGACAAAACACAAGGCTTCAAGAGGGATATGGATGATAACAAAAAGTAAGGTTCTACATCTAGATAGTTTCCTCCAAACTTGTTGACAAGGTTGGTAATATTTCATACTCCAACTCTGAGGAAGTCCTAGTAATTCAGACAGCATATGTTGTCAAATAGATGCGCATTATTAAGAAGATATCATCTTAACATTTCTTTAGTGAGATCAGGACATTTGTCTTCTCTCAATTACCCGAACAAGAGAAGGATAAATTCATGGAATTCATGATAAATAATAATGTAGAATTCGTCCAGGATTCTGACAGCAATTATATTGCAACTATTTGAATCCGAGTATGAAAGTCTTACTATCTTTAGATCAATAACGATCAGAACAATGAGAATAAGAAGTCTGATGAAGGCAATACTCTCGAAAAACCTGAAGAGCGAGATAATACAAGAACCCCTCCTGTTAGCAGAAACCAGATACTAAAGGATAAATAACTCAGATTTTTCTAAGTAAGAAGCCAATTTTAAACTCCTAGGTCTGAGAGATTGAAGGTTTCTCCATACTCAGCTAAACCTTCAGTAAACAAAGCTCAGAAGAATTACCACAAGAGTTCTAAGAGTCCTAGTACACCTGGGTATTCCAAGCAGACACTCCCTCAATCTGTTGAGCCAACAAAGCAAAAGAGAACACCAAGAAGGAAAGTAGCTGAGAATGAAATGGAATATGAAGCAATACTTTCTTTATCAGGCAAGCCAGCCGGGATTCGTCCCAAAAGAATGAATATTTCAAGTACAATTATCTGAATGGAGGATCTTTACACTGCTAGATTTATCAGAGACACTTCTTACTTTAAAGCCCAGCTAAAGAAAGGAAATAGTGAGGAAATTTCTGATAAGCCCTTTCCTAATTTCATCTACGAATTTTATAAAAAGAAACACAAAGCGAACAAGAAGTTGGTACAGCAGAATATCCAAGATCTTATATGCAGTATAGAGCTGCACAGGAGGGCCTCACAAGAGGCAGATCTCTTCGCTAGCTTTCTGTCACAGAAGTATGACGCCAGAGATCTTGTATTCTTCCTGTACACTAGATGTCTGCTAGAGAAGGAAATCGGAGTGAAGTTCTCTGCTTTTGGAAAAGTCAATCCCATCAAGGTCACAGATCCAAGAAATGTCAGCTTAAGTATGAAAACATGTAAGAAAATCGCTCAGATTTTCTTCGAAGAGGATGAAAATGAGCTCAAGAACTTCTTAAATGCTGTGCAGGGTAAGATAGATGAAAATTATGATCAAAATGGAACAAAAAGGATCCAATGTGTTGCATTTCTAATTTTGCTTCTCGATGAATTCCATATCTCCAAGAACACCAACTCCAGCATGCACAAATCTGTTGGAATAATGGATAATCCATTTGAAGATAATGAAGATGAGGAGAAATATGATGAGCTTGTAGAAGAGAAATATGAGGATGAGTATGCCCCTGATCCTCAATTCCAACCACCTCCTCTCCCACCTGATGGTAAGAAAATGCTTAACAATCATAGATTCGATTCCTGAGGATAGTAAGGAGGAAAGTAATATCCTTGAAAAACAGCCTGACCCAGAGATAGGTATCTATTCTGTTTTAAACTTCTAGATGAACTCAAGGCTGAAATATTGAACCATATCCAAGACAACAGGATTTCTCAGTTGATTTCATACATGCTCAAGACTGTTGTCTCCAGATATGAAGAACCAATGGAGGAAGAAATGATGTCAATGCTTGAAAGTGAAATTAAAGAAGCACTTTTTTAGCAAAATTTCAGATTTAATCAACTCATTATTCAAGTAAAACTTCTTGACTAACTCTGTAGTGACAGCCTTGAAGAATGGCTGGAGCTGTTGATGATTCATGAGCCGAATGAAACTCAGCTCAATTATTATGAAAAATGTAGAGATGAAATCCTTCAGACAAGTCAACTCGGAGACCAACTAACACTTGATAATATAGACGATATAGCAAAAATGGTAAGTAGCTAGGCATATTTTACAGGTTCTCCAAACCACAGAGCTGAAGCAGGAGCTTGCAAAGTTGATAAACACCCTAGTGAGCCAGGTTCAGGAAGGAGATTAGATATGATTATCAAACTTTACTATATTCAATTTCTTTAGCAGTTGAAGGGGTTTTGGGGTTTTGGGGTTTTGGGGTTTTGGGGTTTTGGGG